CTAGTACGACCAGAATCATAACTTCTTTTTTCAAAATTACCACGTTTCCGCAAGCGTCGGTGAATAGTTGTGAACATAGTATGATGGGGTAGTCTACGCTGTGGGTACTGTTCAGCATAAAGTCTTTGCGCTTCCAATGAATTACCATTAACACGACCGTATGTAAAATGCATATCTGCCATTTCCAAATTCGAATATGCATTCATATTTTCAATCAACTAATATTTCCTACAATACACAATCATAAAACTTGTGAAACAATAAGATGAGTAACAGAAAATGACACTACACAATCCTGGTATCAGTATTAATGTTTTTATGCAAAGCACAGGTCACTAGACTTGACGCAAAATACACTCGCGTTAGCTCATCTTTTTGAAAATGCATTGCATTAGATTTTTTTTCTCGTAAATGCTCAAGTTTTAGAAAAAACTTGTAGAGTTAAAAAAGTTAGTCAATGAATTGGGCTTTTCAGTCATACTTTTTTAAAGAAAAAATTTTCATCTGAAAAAAAGTTGTAAGAAAAAATATCTTAGGGGTTGATTATTTCAACCCCTTCTAAGCATACTTCAGGGTTGAAAAAATTTCAAAAAGTGTACTTTTATTGACAGATAATGTTTACCAAGTTTCGTGTCTTTAGCTTGATATACAGGGAAAATAAAAAAGAAAAACCATTATTTTTTTTAATTTTCGTGTAACTTTTCCGGGGAGGGTTTTTTCAAAAAAATTTATACCAAACACTCACATTAATTTTCATCACAGAATCACCCCTTTAATTTTTTCGGTGTTATTTAGATACACCCTATATCTCTACTACTCTTAAACAATTTATGTTTTTCTATGAATCTTATGGTACCTCTTACACTTGTATATAGTTTGGTAAAGCTCACTAGCACTTTGTAAAATAAATTATACAGAATGTTCAAAAAATTAGGAATATCAGTTACTAAAATAAGGTACATTTTTCATGTATTACTATAGATAAAATAAGACTTCTGACCATTTTTTTGTTTTATATAACACTGGATAATTTATAAGTAATACAGAATGTGACAGAACTACATAAACAACTAATAATTACAACAAAAAAATACATTTAGCGAAAAAACTTGGAACACATACCTAAAATATTCTAGAAAGAATCTTGAAGCGAAATTAATTTTGCATGTATTATATTCTCTAACCAAATCCTATTCTACGTCTTCTTTAATTTCGAAACACTACTACTAACCCTCACTTGAATAAATGATTTAGAAGACATATTCTAATTAAAAAGTAATTCTTGATTTTTATTTACTGTACAGATGTCATTCTACCACTATTTGAATTTTTGTAGATTTAGTACGTTAAGGCTAGTTAAAATAGAACCATATAAAAAATCTTCTTATACAGTTTTCGCAGTAGTAATTTTATAAAAAATTCCTGTTATAAATACTGATGATATTTAATTCTGGCCAATTCTTACTGATTAGCTATTCCATACATCAAGCAGGGTCGAAAACAATGAATTTGTTTTTCAGTGTAAACAATTTAAACCTACATTATTGTGGTGTCGAATCAGTGGCGTACCCAGATATGGATCTTGGGAGGATAACAAAATTGAACATGGAACAAATTTTTATTAAAAATTAGAATATTCTATTTTATAAAACAAGGAACTCATACCTTAGGTTTGTTCCAACAACGATCAGAAATCAGTCATTGTCACTAGGATTCTGCGCAGTAGATCATTAAGACCCCAAATTATATGCTGCGCAGAATCCTGATGCCAATGACTGATTTTGGATACTTGTTGGAACAAACCTCATATCGTCGTCGTAGAGTCAAAACCTCGTATCATAAAATTACCAGGTTTTCAGAAAACACTAAAAACGCTAACGCTTTTTTTTCTGTAATTGTTAATTTTGTACAAGTAGCTTTTTTATGTAATAGAAAAAAGCAAGTCAAAAATATTCCAAATGGTTAAAGATTTACATTTTTAAAATTAATCTCTCTAAAAAAAAAAAAAGAAAGTCGGTAGTGCCTTCTATATAGAAAATAATAAAGAAATGTGTAAATTTCAATTACCAGAGATTTGTAGCATTTTTACAGCTGAAGCTGTCGCTATACATAAAGCTTTGGAGTGGTGTACGGAAAACAAGGTACAAAGTGCAATAATAATATCTGACTCTAAATCGGTGTTAGAGAGCATAAAAAATATAACAACAAGATATTTTAATAATTTTATTATATGTAAGATAAAAAATTTGCTTAATCAGTTAGAAGTTAAAAAGGTTAAAATTATATTTATATGGACGAAAGGACATAGTGGCATCTATGGAAATGAGTTAGTTGATAAGGCTGCAAAAGAAGCAAGGGTATGCAATAATCTTTTAAAAAATCCTTGTTACAAAGATCTTTATGGTAAATATAATAGTATATTATGCAACGATCATGTAATGATGGTTATTAATACACGAGCATTAACCGGGATACGAAACGAGCCAAAGGCGAGTTTCGTATGGTTTATGCGAGTGTTTTAATAACCATTACATGAGAGTTGCATACGCTATTTTTTCTACACCCGATAAATAATCAAGACCTATAAATATTCTATTTATATTGGTATTGAACACAATAACAGTAATTACTCGTATTTCTATAAAAAATTCTACAAAATTGTAATTAATGGTATTACCTTGGGTACTGGTATTACCACAGATTTTTGGGGCAAAATATTTTGTACTGCATTTTCTCCTTTCTCCTATATGTGTGGAGGAGTGTTCTATATCGCTGATATCAGACATTTTAATATTATAATTATCGAAGTTTAGCTATCTACGAAAATTTAATACGTTTTGACAACTAAAACAATTACATAGGAATTTAGGACAAACGTCAAACATCATGCTTGATTGAAAAATTGTAGGTTTCTATTGATTAAAAATCTGTATCATAATGAAAAATCTGTATCATAATGGGTATCATTATGAAACGGATTATGGGCATATAAGTGCATTATTATAATACGGGTGTAGAAAAAGATAGTATTTACAGAGATTGGAATAAATATTGGAGAGAAATAACAAAAAATTCAAATAGTTCATATTTTTCTATCTACAAGGAGTTGCCAAATAAAATATCACATATATTTAAAGACAAAGTTAATAAAAAGTACTGCACAATTATAACTAGATTGAAAATTAACCATGGGTGCTTTCCGTCTCATTTATATAAAATAGGACTGACAGATTCTCCACTATGTTCTCTTGATAACGAGGTCGCAGATCTCGATCACATATTGTTCGGCTGTAAGAGTTTTTGTAATAATGACCTGTGGGATGGTCTTATGAAAGCAGGTATTCAGTTTCCTACGTGTGTTAAGGTGTTGCTCGCGACTGGAAATCAATCTGTGTACGATTTATTGGTAGATTATGTAAGTAAAAATAATATTAATATCTAATATTTAAACGTAATACCTTTCAATTTGTGTGTGGCTGAAGGACTAATGTCCATTGCCAATAAAGCGAAAAAAAAAAAAAAAGAAAGTTACGCCAAAATATGAATTACGTGGTTTTGACTCTACAACGACGATATTACATAACTGATCTATGATACGAGCCGTAACCTCGGTTTTTAAAGAGCCGCAAAAAGTCCTCACAACAATTTTGAGACAAATTAAATTACTTCTAACACCTGTATGATGTATTTGATTTAGTAATTATTATAAAGCGATTTAGAGGTTTCTTACTCTTATTTTTTCTTACGGCTACTCATTACTTTTATGATGTGTGTGAGTTTGCAGACGTGCTGGATCTTCCTGGGGGAAATATCCCTATTATCCCTCCATGGGTACGCCATTGTGTCGAATATATTCAAAATTTACCAATAATCTAATAAAGCACATAATATTTATAGAGTATAATGAAATTCAAGGGTATTACTTTACATGTAAGACTGTTGCAAAAACTATAGGAACGTGTGCTCATATTTCTAGTGTTTTGTAGCACCTAGGATACGCACAATACGAAAATAATATAAAGTACCCTTCATGTGTTTATTTTAGATGCTGCTGAAAGATGAATCAGATTTTGATGGTGTGATTGGTTTATATTTAATGTACCTATGTAGTAAAAGTTTTTTAAATGCAGTTTCTTTTATTGATTTATAATTTAGTGGTAAGTCTAAATATCTGTGTAAAAAAATATTATTATTTGTACTATAAATAATAATGTATTTTTGCCACACCCTGTATTATTAATAAATATTATCTAGTATTTAATATAACAAATAAGCTATCAGAAATAATTTTCTTATTATGATAATACATGAAAATGCACCTTATTTAAGTAACTACTATTTCTAATTTTTTGAACGCTCTGTGTATTTTATTTTACAAAATACCAGAAGGTATTAACAAAATATATACAAGTGTAAGAGGTACCATAAGTTTCATGGAAAAAACATGAATTACTTAAGAGTAGTAGAGATATATATGAAAATATTAATTCTATATTTCACACTTTTGACTCCTTCTAACAGCTCACCTTGTAGAGCTGCAAACTTAAGGTCCATAAGAAAGTTGCCGGTAATGACGTGTAAAATAACATACTAAAATTTAAACAAATTCTGTCAGTACCCAAAATCAATGTTAAAAGTGCGGGGTCCTTTATGGGCAAAATAAATGGTAACTTTATTTCACTTGGCTTTTCATGTATTTGTTGATTATATTTTAAGTTTGATTCTTTTATCAATAAAAAATATATTTTTTACAACTTTAATAACACAACAGACAAATATTATTTTAAGTTTTAATTTTAGTATTTAAATTAAAGGCTTAATTTAGTTCTAAATTCAGTACTTAATTTAGTGTCGTGGCAAATAGTCGTTGGGCTACAATAATAAAAAACAATGATGCTAGAAATTCATTTTTTATACGTAATTTAATTATAAAATTAACAGCAAAAAACAGACTGATATACCGAAAAAAATTAAATCTAAACAAATATGTAATCTCTTACCTTTATTTAACGATTTATCCTTTATTATTATTCCCCCGTCACATTCATAATTATGTAAAAAGTTAAAACCAAATATAACAAATAAAAGATATTGGTTCATTATTCTACAATAAAAACCTATCTACTAAAAATGAAATGGTATGTATCTATTAGTAATAACGTTGTTAAATGGCTTGACCAAAATAAACAAACGGTGATACTTCTATTGTATCAAATTATAACTTTTTCTAATCGTTAAGGTAAGGTAATTACCTACCACAATTGAATCCGAAATATGGGTATGTATTAATGATACGAATATCGATGGGTAATCAGTGCAGTCGTATTAAAATTTTTCAAAATATATTATTTGGAATTTTTGTACTTGATGGACGTTATTGGTATTCCAAAATAAACCTTGCGGGAGCTGAAATTTGGTGACTTTGGTAAAAATTGTAACACACATTCAGAAATACGGGACTGGTTATATTTTATTTTTAAAATTGAAACAGTTTTGTTTCTATAACTTAAAATCGTTAAGTTCAGTTCCATGTATCCACATTAGAAACAAATATTATTTTGCTAATTTTTTAATGATATTTGATATAGGGATGCGCACGATGTATCGATGTTAAAAAAACATCGATTTTTCTCTTTCGATTATCGATATTTTTATCGATGTTTTTTTATGCGATGTTTTCATTTAACATCGATGTTTTTTTATCTAATATCGATGTTTTTTAATTTTACTCGAAAAATATTGGTGTAGGAAACTACAGGTTGCTTGTTTATTAAAAATGTTAATAGTTTTATTATTATGTAGGTACTTATTATTTTATTTTCGATTTACAGATTTAAAATTTAGACAGGTAGCCTAATTAGAAATTAAAATATTATTTATCCTGAATTAGTGAATCCCGAATAAAACAACTTATTTGTATATTGTTCATTATCGAGTCAAAGTTCTTGATTTTGATTATTTTTTCCCATTTGAATAATGATTTATTCCATCTAATAATTAATATAATTAATCGTAGAAATTAAATTGATTGTTAATTGAGCGTGTTTTTTTGCAATGTTCCTATCAGAAATTTAATCTTATTATTTTTTAATAATTAAAGTTATTCTAATTTTGACTTATAAAGTGGCATCTTTTGTTGAATATATTGCAAAAAGAAAACAAATAAAAATAAACCATTTTTGGTATTAAAATCAATTGTTTTCGGAGAAGGAAGGTTGGTTATATAAAAATAAATTTGGTCAGTGAACTTATAATTACTAATAGTTCTGGTTCGTTTGCTATTTTAAAAATCTAAATCTATTATAAATTTGAACAAAATAATCGAAACAAACAACCAATGACATAGTTTTATTGTAAAAAAACTAAAAATATTCATACATATCTATGTAAAATTACACATGTTCTTGAAAATTAACAAGTTTTGGCAAGAAAATGAAAACTGTTTGTGATGATAAATATTTTAAAAGTAATGATAATAATAATAATAATAATAATTATTATTATTATTATTATTATGCTAAATAAAATGCATTTAAAATAAATAAACAACAATAGTACGTATTTTTATTTAATTTTCATGTTTTGGAAAAATAAAATTGCATCTATTGTGAATTGAACCGCGTCGCGAAATGCAAAATTGACTACATGTTCAATGCTTAACTGAGCTAAAGAGTCATGTCAAGTGTGTGTATTTTATGTTTTTAGTCGATATTTTTTACAACTTTCAGTTCTCTGACGTCTTGTTTGCAGGAATTTTAAACTAAATCCTTGCATATGACAGTTCCTGATGGTCCCGCCTACCACTTTACAAAATTCCAGCCGGAGGTACGATCATACCACAGACTTCATATTTTATCTAAGAAGGATCGTACTACCTTGCAGCCACCAACTCTGAGTCTATTAATATTAATAAATAAAAATAAGATTATTTCCAATGTCTTGTTTATTTGTTCGTTTATAAAAAACATCGATGTTTACAAAAATCGATGTTTTCTTTCCGATTTTTTTACAACATCGATAGTCAGTATTCGATGTATCATTTGATGTCAACATCGATGTTTTAAAAATTTTGCGCATCCCTAATTTGATATCTGTTTCTTACTTACAAATTCAATATTTATCTAGCTATTTATTGTACCTTCTATATTAGTATATTTAAACTGCTGTCAATATAATTTGAAGTAGGTATCATGGAGACATTTAGAGAAAGCAGATGTAGTTCGTCTATGCGGCTTTTGCAAAAGTTTGGGTACTAGGATGAAACATGTATGAAGGAATTAGTTTGCTCTGCAACAGCTTCGCACCTTTATGTTATGATGGGTATGATGATTATTACCCTTCTGTCGCTAATGCATTGAAGAAGTAGTCTCGATACCTATAACGATCCTTCCACCACTATCTTCTTAAGAGAGTGTAGAATTTGGAGTGGCTTCAAGTTAGGTAGATAGGCCTCTTCTATTTGGTGTACTCCTAAGTATAGTGCCCTTGAATTTTCGAGGGCTACGCAGTACGTATTCAGTCAGAATGTGAATGAAGATTTCGTTATCCTTCTACAGAACCTACACTCACTATCTTCTACTACTTTCAGTTTATTGAGGTCTCCCTTAAGTGGGCAATATCCAGTAAAGATCCCTGTTACAATGCGTAGCCTGTTGTTGCTCAAGCATATACTGGTTTCCGATCTTTTTTTGGTTAAATTCACCAAAAAGTATCTTAGCTTAGCTTAGCTTCAAGAGATTGTTCAAATTATCGGTTCTTCTACTCCCCTAATATTGTTTTACTGTTAATACCACTGAACTGCTCAGGTACTACAAATGGTGTTTGAGTCACTCTTCATGCTAGAATCTCTACAATATCTTTATCTTTTACCATGTTATGTGTCGGGACCCTAGTGAGGAAAACTTTATTTTCCTCGCCTAGATCATTCAGTTTTTCTAGACTCACCAGACCACTCCGACATGACACCAACTCCAAAAACTATCCACAGAATAGCTTTTGTGGATACTCAATACATCCACAGGCTACCAGTGATATCTAGTGGATCTAATATGGCTATCCAAATGTCCGTCTATATCCAGAATATGGAAGATATTCTATGGATATTAGAGGTTCATAAGCAACCACTGGATATATCCTACAGATGTTTAACATATCCAGTGTACATCCATCATTGGATATCAAAAATGCAGAAATCTAGGTATCTCATCGTCAAGAATTTCAATGATAAAGTAAAACATAGAATTTTTCTAAAGGCAACATATTCGTAGAAGGATGTAGTTATAGTTTTTTAAAACATTACGTTTAACAATGTAGAAGCTCAGATACTGTACAAAATTTTGAGTAGATCGAAACGCTACAACATGTAGAGTAGAAAGAGTATCAACATTGTATTTTTACAATTTAATATTGTACACCAATATGTACCTAGAAAACCACCGAAATATCATTGAGTTTGTGAAGTAGGTTTTAAACTAAATACAGCGCTTGAGTTATCTAACAAATACATCTTATTTTTATTGTTGTTATATTAAGTATAGTTAAAACAAAAAAATATTATAAATAGGCTAATTATATTTAAAAAAAGTAAACTGTCGGTTGGTAGTATGTTTATATTAAACTGTTCTAGTAGTTGTTAAACATGTAACCAAGGCTCTAGAAAAGAGAAACATCCCAGTTACAATATGCCAATGGATCACTGCTTGTCTAGAGAACAGGATTATTTTATCCACTCTAGGAAAGGCAACCATATAGGCAAAAGTTACGTGGGGCTCCAATACTGTGGTCATTTCTTGTGGACGACTTACTCAAAACATTGTGCAAAAAAGGCTACCAGTGCCTAGGATACGCAGACGACCTAGTAATTATCGTCAGGGGGCGATTTGCAGGCACAGTTTCGGAGCGATCTCAAACAGCTCTAAACATAGTGAACAACTGGTGCAAAAAGAAACAATTGTCTATTAACGCACAAAAAACAACAGTTGTACCATTCACCAAAAAACGGGTACTTACAGGACTAAGAATATGTGGGAAAAACTGGGGTCTAAACCACAAAATGACTATATGGTTATACACAAGGGTAATGAGACCCATGCTAACCTATGGCGCAGTTGCGTGGGTAACCAAAACTGCGTAAGCAAGTGCAACAGGCCAACTCACTAGCATTCAGCAGCTTGCCTGTCTAAGTGCTACTGGGGCCATGCGCACTACGCCGACTGCAGCAATGGAGGTATTATTAAATCTCACGCCACTGCACATCTTCATACAAGGAAAAACCAGGTCAGCTATTCAGAGGCTAATGCAGGGACAAAACCCAATAAGCCAACTACATAACGCCGATCACACAAGGCTATATAAGCAAGTAAAAAGGGATAATATTCTAACTATGCCTACTGATAGAGCCATAACCACATACAAATTTTGAAATAAATTTTCAAATTCAAATACCAGCTCGATAATCCTGGAAAAAGGGACCTCCCGTGCAGGCTGAACTTGTCTGGTACACAGACGGTTCAAAAACCAAGGAAGGAGCCGGTGCTGGAATCTATGGAGTTTAGGAAAATATTCAATAGTGTTCCAGGCTGAGCTAATAGCCATAAAAAACTGTGCAAGAGAAATATTACATCAGGCAAAACTATTGCCATATACTCTGATAGCCAAGCAGTTCTAAATGCAATTCTCTCACCAGAAATCAAATCACGACTGGTGAAAGACTGCCTAGAAGACCTGGCAGAGCTAAGTAGTCAAAATAAGGTGACCCCAGCCAGGGTTCCAGGCCATGAGGGATATCAGAGCAACGAAAAGGCCGACGAATTAGCCTGAGAAGGCTTAGATAAGGCCATAACAGGCCCCGAACTATTCCGTGGCGTTGCTAAGGCATTGTGCAAGGCATCCATTAAACAATGGATGCAAAAAAATCTCAGCAATGGTGGAACAACTATCCAAGACTGAGACAGGCCAAACAGTTCATCAAGGAACCATCGGCCAAGTTCACGAAAGACCTATTGAATCACAAGCGTCAAACCGTTAGGATAACAGTAGGCCTTCTTACTAGACACTGTCGCCTCAAAAGGTACATGAGTGTCATCAATCCAGCAGTAGAAGCAACTTTGTGCAGGTTCTGTGAATAAGAAGAGGAAACATCATTCTACGTCCTGTGCCAATGTGAAGGCCTGGCTGGAATGAGGTTTCTAACATTGGGAGAAGAAAAGCCAAATGCATGCAACTACATGCGGGAGCCACTGTC